TGGATAGCTGGCCAATCACAGCATACCTCGCTTTTTCAGACCGATGAGCTTTGTAAAAATCGACGCGTTTCAAAAAGGCGGGGCATAGAGGAGAAACAATAATGTACAGTATGTGGAAAATAATGTGTTTTTTTAACTTTAAACCGCATAAACACATTTCATTACACCAAATACACAAAATAATGTTCTTTTTAGCAGCATCATATGACCCCTTTAAGGATAATGCTGCCAAATGCCAGTATAATGGCAGTTTGGGCTCTGACATTCATGGCAACAGTTCCTGAATATTGTATTCCGTATCTGAATGTTCACTTTGTAGTTCACATGGGGAAGTTGTCACCAAGGGCTAAACTTGATGCCAAGTTAAGAGGCAAAAGTTCAATTCACTTACAAATGCTTTTCTCTAGCAGTGCTTTTGTATGGAATGGAAATAATGGTGGAATTGTGCAAACAGCTTTTGCTGCAAAAAAATTAAGGTATGTGCCTACAGAGAAACAAACTACACAAGGAAATATTCTTTGGCGTATAGACTATGACAACCCCATCTTATGAGAAAACGTAATTATTTTTGCAATAATTTGCACGATGTGATCCATGCAGAAAAAAATAAAGTAAGCATAAACCTAATTGTACGAGATAAATTGTACAATTTCATATGAATTAACCACTAACTGGCCAAAACGTAGAATAGTTATGCCCTGTGCTGTTGGCTGTGACAACTAACCCCAGCCTTCCCTCCTAAAGTCGAACAACAACTGTCACTGGTAATTTCTTCATCTCACCACTAGAAAACCAAAAAGATCCTCTGTATTTCTTCCTCAAACACACGCAAATGAAATGAAAGAACAGTGTAGTCCTGTTTGCAACACTGCTTGCATTCAAAAGGCAAGCAGCTGTCAAGTAACAGAAAATAAACAGTTGCAGTCATTGAAAATGAACAGACTCAAATTTCTCTAGGGGGCCAAAGAGCCTTACCTTGACACTGGAAGCCTTGCTTGCCGAAACCCCTGCAAAAGAGACGAGACTGTGTGACAGCACAGAAACCAAATCTGGATGCATTCCTCTGCGCTCAGCAGCAAAACGCGCAGGCGCGCGCCATATTCCGCAAAATCGTCAAATCCATCTCTAGGAAGATGGTGATGATGATGATGGCTTAATCATAACGCGAGGAATTTCTCGTGTATATGACAGTTAACATTTATCCGTACTACAGCAAGAGAAGAGGCGAAATAAATGTGCTGTAATTGCATAAACATACAAGTACACTGAAAACTAAATAGGCTGTCTTGTAGAGAGGTGCAGCACTGCGTTGGACTCATTGCGCGAAGCGCTTGTCTTTTCCGTCTGCGCTCGGCGTCTTTGTTCAGTGTTGACACCACTGCGGAAGTCTGAGAGCGTTCAAACGCTTTGGTGTTTTTCCTGTCACGAGCATCAAGTGAGTCACCTGTGCCCTTCGCAGCCGTTTACATAAGACACCACCTTTGCGTCCTCCACCATACTCACCAGATGAAGTCGGTGCAGTGGCTGCAGAAGGTCGGCTGCTTGAAGAAGCGCGCGATGAACTTGTGGTTCTTCACTTCGTGTACGTTCTTCTGCCTCAGCGCGCCCTGCCTGGCGAAGCCTCGTGCGCCCCCCGCGCCCTCCGCAGCCACTGGGTCGGCCATGATGGGGACGGAATGGATGTAGTGGGTAGAAATCTCCTCAGCTTGTAGCCTGCGCGGTTGTACGGGGTCTTGCTCGGCTTGCGCTTCGCTTCCCGGTTGGTCGGCACACGCGCGCGCACACGCCTACCTCTCCCCAGCTGACTGTTGTGGCGGAGCGCGCGGGCAGCGGTGCTTCAGTGATCCTGTAACCACGCCCCCTTCGTGCAGACGTTTTGAAATGACTGTTGTGGTTGAGAGAAAAATTTTGGTCGCGAAACCTGACAGAGAACCAAAAATTATTTCCGAGGAAACTGTCGTCAATAGTGTGACTGATCGAGCGTCAGAGGCACAAAGCACTTGTTGATTTGGCGCACTGCAAATGTTTACCATAGTAGCTTTCTGCCAAGACTGTGGTACGTGGTTATTATGCATCTCTGTCATAAAATAATAAACAAAAATAATTAGTTCTCATAGTTTAGCAATAAATAGTCCTATATGATACAATTGATATTGTGATATTTTTACGGTAAAATGCTATAATGATGTTGTATTTATTAGTAAAAACTATGAATCTCCTTCTGTCTGTTCGATTAAGTCAGGGGTCTCCAACTTCGGTCCTGGAGTGTGCTGCAGAATTGAGCTCCAACCCTAATCAAGCACACCCGAACCAGCTAATCAATGTCTTGTAGGTATATACTTGAAACTTCCAGGCAGGTGTGTTGAGGCAAGTTGGAGCTAAACTCAGCATTCCATTTTTATCCAGTGTACAGTAGAACCAGCTGCAGTATTTTGTCAGAAAACAAGCTGTTTCTAATTGATTTAAGCATTCCTGTAGCTCAGACAATAGAGCATAACACTAGCAACACCAAGGAGTTTGACTCCTATAATTCGTGTAAACCTTAAAAAGCTGGATAAAAGGTGGATAAAAGCTTCTGCTAAATGCATAAATGTAAACATGCTTATCCCAAAAACTGTGTAATTTTACATCAAATACAAAAAGCACTGTTGTTATAATCCCACTACTGTACTGTGTGATAATCACATTTACTTGTAGATATCTACAAAAATAGTTGCTCTACCACCCTCCATTATTACTTGACCCCTCAATTCATGTGAAACATTTGAATTCAAAATGGTGAACATATAGAAACCATTTTAATTAAAAAAAGCAACTGAAACAGAAAACAAATATAGAACTAAGACATAAAACAGATGCTAACAACTCTAAAAACATAACTGTGTGAGTGCATGTCACAATTATGTCAGATGTTGGGTTATAGACTGTTGCACATTTCGTGAAATATTTGTGGGGTTAGTAAGAAATACATGTGAAAGTAGTGTTCCTCCCAGTCTGGTCGCATTTCAAGTTTTTATTTTTTTTTAAATATGTAAATTGTGTGAATGTTTTATATCAAATTTACCAAGAGAACCTGCTGATTTTGGTGACACCAGTTCTGTAATTTATTAATATTCACCCATAGTCATGAATTCAACATAAGTACTCAGGAAACTTCAGTATATTTTAAGTTCCTCAAAAACATTTTTCCTCATGATGGACTGGAGGACAGTCTTTAAACTTCTAGCAGGAACTTAAGGATTCCATTGTGCAAGATTCTGCAGTCAAGATGAAACCTCAAGAACCCTTATACTTTATTCAGAGACCAGTCTTGTTTGAAAGGGCTCTCCAAATGGATCAGATTGTGTAGCAATTCTGAGAAGCCCCAAAAGGCATCTCAAGTATCTTTTTTTTTAGCAGTTAGTGAGAAATTGTTTCAGAGAAATTTTGGCACTCAAACCAGTAATTTTCTTTTTGTAATAACGGTAGCTAATTGCTTTGTGTGTCTGTATACAATCACCTCATAATATGTGTAGAAGGGGTGGTAACTTGTTTAGTTTCTAGTTTCTATGGACGACTATTTTCATTCTTGAGAACATTTGTTCTTTGTTTGGCTTTTAAACTGATGACTTAGTTGTTTTTCAGACCAAGTACTTTTACTTGCACTTAAAAAGGTTATTTTTGAAGGAGTAGCAAAAAAAAAAACTTTCCCCCCTGGTTATCTTTCCTGAAGCATTTAATGCAAACATTGTGGTTAAAGCCCAGTGGTCTATGATCTGAACTGATTCAAACCCCAGTAGTGCTGACCCATGAATAAGAGTTCACTAAAATCACCACTGAAAAAGAAACTTAACCCATAGGCACCACCAAGGGGACTGCAAAGCATAAAATTACTAAATAAGGAACATTTCAGACCTGCCACTCATTCTTTTTTTTCTTCCCCTTTAATTTACATTAATTCTGCCATTTAGCAGATGCTTTGCCACAACATAAGAGATTAATTTTTAAAAGGATTAACTGACCCACATTCAGAAATTGACCCACAGAGAGATAACGTCTGCAGATGATTTACAGAAAATGTCTGAGAGACTCGGAGACCAAACTGGGCTGTGGTATTGAATCAAAGGTCAGATTACACACCAAAACAATAATATTAATATATATCAATAAATAATAATTCAGTTGATGAGGCTTTTCCTTACATAATCCAACCTGGCATCATTGTTAAATGCTATCTAAGTCTGAGATACACTGATTTTGATGGCCATCTGTAGAAAGTTCTTCAGGAGCCAAGAAATAAAATGCTCAAGCAGTATGTTCACTAACCCACTAAGGGTCACTGGTGAGTTTATTGATAAGGATATAGTCTGTGATTGCATTATTAAAACATGCAATATTTAGTCAAAGGTTACAGTTTATTCTTTGACAACAATATGCATGCCCCTCACCATTCACCACGATACCAAAACCTTTTTCTTTGAATCACTTGCATTGGCAACAAAAGCATTTGATATAGGCCTAGTCATCCACCATCTGCTGAGCTTCACACTGACACAAGGTACTACTACCAAATCATTGCATAAAATTACATGCTTGGTTTGGGTTTCATTGAGAACAGGCAGGTTATATTGTGAGAACATTAGAGAAATAACAGGTGAAAAAAACAATCTGATGTGGCCTTCAACACCTCACCAGTATTTTCACTGATCAGTTATAAACTCACGGTTTGAAATTACATAAACTTCATTTTAAATTAACAATCTAAAAACATCCAATAGGTGGCGCCAAAGCCATAAAATACTATTTAAAAGTTGTCAGTATCATGTGATTTCTGGAAAAACAAATCGTTTAAAATACGATTAAGACGACCAAAATAGATCTAAAAGCTTTAAAATGTACATTGTAAACACTGTTTAATTTAAAAACTTTTTTTGCCATGTCAACTGTTTTATTGATGTATCAGGCCTATTTCAAAACATTGAAAAAACGTAAATAAACTAATATGAAATGTTTTATTCATAACCCAGACAACAGAGACAATTTGATAGAATGTTACAGCAGCTTTAAATGATTTATTTTTCATTATGCATCATTATGTGTTTATGTACATATTGTTTTAGACAGTAAAGCCATATCCAAGACAGTTCCCGTGTCAAAGAGAGAAATCTACATGTAGAGACAACATGCTAAGAACAAAAGAATATGTCTAAAATAATATGACATGAACAAAACAAAGTCATCAGAAGTTCATTATTTCTATATGTTTCACTGTAAAGGCTCATTGTCACATACATTAGTATTTGATTCAGTCTAATGGTATTTACTTAAGTAACAGACAATGGTTGAACTCATTGTGAAATCATGATACTGGAGATAGACAGTTAGTCATTACAGATAACATTGTCACAGCTCACGTTACACAAACACATTCTATGGATAATACAAGGCCTGGAATGTTAGTATTTGTTGTGCTAATATTGTACCTCAAACCATATGCATTCACAGTTGTGTTAGTGCTCTGAACATGTCATGTAAAATAGTCTGTTAAGTAACAATGGACCGTCAGTACCTATAAAGTAAAAACAATTACTATTTCTATTTCAGTCTTCGGGTTTTGTTTCAGTTGGCTGCTGAGACAACATTTCTAATTTTCATTTACAGTGAATGTTTTATTCATAACCCAGACAACAGAGACAATTTGATAGAATGTTACAGCAGCTTTAAATGATTTATTTTTCATTATGCATCATTATGTGTTTATGTACATATTGTTTTAGACAGTAAAGCCATATGGACCGTCAGTACCTATAAAGTAAAAACAATTACTATTTCTATTTCAGTCTTCGGGTTTTGTTTCAGTTGGCTGCTGAGACAACATTTCTAATTTTCATTTACAGTGCCCCTATTATGGATTTTTGAAAATTACCTTTCATGCAGTGTGTAACACAGCTCTAAGTGAATGAAAACATCCTGCCAAGTTTTAAATCTGAAAGTGCACCGTGTATAAAGTTATTGTCTCTAGAAATCTACATGTAGAGACAACATGCTAAGAACAAAAGAATATGTCTAAAATAATATGACATGAACAAAACAAAGTCATCAGAAGTTCATTATTTCTATATGTTTCACTGTAAAGGCTCATTGTCACATACATTAGTATTTGATTCAGTCTAATGGTATTTACTTAAGTAACAGACAATGGTTGAACTCATTGTGAAATCATGATACTGGAGATAGACAGTTAGTCATTACAGATAACATTGTCACAGCTCACGTTACACAAACACATTCTATGGATAATACAAGGCCTGGAATGTTAGTATTTGTTGTGCTAATATTGTACCTCAAACCATATGCATTCACAGTTGTGTTAGTGCTCTGAACATGTCATGTAAAATAGTCTGTTAAGTAACAATGGACCGTCAGTACCTATAAAGTAAAAACAATTACTATTTCTATTTCAGTCTTCGGGTTTTGTTTCAGTTGGCTGCTGAGACAACATTTCTAATTTTCATTTACAGTGCCCCTATTATGGATTTTTGAAAATTACATTTCATGCAGTGTGTAACACAGCTCTAAGTGAATGAAAACATCCTGCCAAGTTTTAAATCTGAAAGTGCACCGTGTATAAAGTTATTGTCTCTCTAAAGAAAGAGTCTTTATCAGTGCTTTATCAGGCTTTACAGGCAAGATGAAATGAAAATGAGACCAATCGGACCAATCACCGCAGATTAGCGTCATGCAAAGGAGGGGTTTGGAAAAATGAATCATTAAACAAATCGTTTGGGAGCAAGTAAGGTAAAAATAAATGCATATTATAAGACAATGAAAGTGTTTTTTGACCTTGCATGCATGTCAACCTGTTGTTGGGGACTCCCAAAACCAAAATATGAACCTATCATAACCCATAATAGGGGCACTTTAAGTTTTTTCAATTAAGTTTCAGCTTTATTTTAATGAACAGTTTTAGTTTTGTTTTTAAGTTAATGATAACACTGTGTACAGTAGGCCTACAAATAAAAGTAAATATGAAAATGCATCATAGAGACATTGAGATTTGGTACTCGGCCAGTTTTTTTGGTAATTGGGCTAGTTTTGCTTCATCATTCATCTCTTTGTAGGGCAGCTCTCAGATTGCTCCAGAACTCACTTCTCTTTTCCTCGTCTTCGGGCCACTCCAGATACGTCCTGGAGTTCATAATCTTCCGTAGCTTGCAGAAACGTTTGGGAATGGTCTCCTTCTTGATTGGCTCAAGAAGTACCAGGACGGCGGAGTCATTGTGCTCATCGACTATGCGGAAATGTGAGAAGTCCAGCTCATAGCGGCACCATTCGCTGGTAACAAAGTGCTCAGACAGAACAAAGAGAGTCCGATGGCTCTTTTCAATCGAGTCGATGATGTTGTCCACGATCCAGCGGCCCGGCTGGAAGTCCCGTTTGTGCAAACACAAGGCAAACGGAGGATGAGCGCTCTCCAGCTCTGGAACAAGGATCTCCTCGACCCACTCAGCGTCATGTTGACTGTAGGATACGAAAGCGTCATAGCGGAGCTCCTCGGCCAGTCGACCAACTGCAGGTTTTCGTTTGGCTTGTATCCATGCTTTAGTCATCTGCAGGTACCATATAATGTGAAACTTATAGCAGGTGACAACAATTAGTCCAAGGACTATGATAATCACAGAACAAAGCACTAAGACAGCAGGGATCATGTAACACTCGAAAACTGACAATCGGACACTGTCAACAGCATCACCTCTGAGAGTGAATGGAGTGTCGCACACATAATTGCGACGACCATCCCTTATCGTGATGAAATGGTCAACACCCTGTCTGAAGAAAGATACAAACTCACAGGAGCACACAAAATTGTTGTTACTCGCTTCTAAATATTGTAAGGTTTTAAACCTCCTCAAATCACTGCCATTAAACATCCGCAAGGCGTTCCTTTGGATAAGCAGTGTCTGCAGCCTTGGAAATAATTCCCCCTGTGGCAGTTTCATAAATCGGTTGCCTGTCAGTATAAGCATAGTAAGTTGGGGAAATCTTTGGTGGAACACCATCAGATCATTTTCACTGAGATCCAGGGCCGTCAAGCTAGAAGGCAGGCAAGGGGTCATCTTACGTAGCTTTGTGCTGGAAAGGTTCAGAAACCTAAGAGTCGCTGGCCAGCTACAGTTTTCTGGCATAGAAACAAAACTATTATGACTTAAATCTAAATATGTGAGACTCTTAAGGTTAGTGGCCAATCGAGACATCAGTCCAAGAGATTTTAAAACATTCTGGCTCACATTAAGAGTGTTGAGGTTTTGATATGCACCAAAACCTGTATATAAGGTCGGTTCAATTGTCAGGTCTGAAAGGAGATTCTGACTAAGGTCCAAATATTCAAGATTTTTTAACAGTGGGGTAGTTTGCTGTGGAATAACAAACACTGTGCCGTTAATAACGGACACCTTATGGAGATGGAGCAGGATAAATCCCAACTGCATCATGCTACTAAACCCAAAAAACCCTTGGATGTCGAGATTACGTATGTAGGCTGTATGTAAGTTTTCATAATGTGTATACGAAGCTTTCTGCCACCACCCTTGGCCAATCAAATGGACATCTTCAAGACCAATATATGACAAAGAAGAACCATCCATGACCATCAATAAAGAGGTCATTGCTTCGTCAGTTGTGGTGGTTTTTTGGAAACTCAAGCTTTTAGTCCCACCTTCTCTCGCCGCTTTAAAGGGTTCTGTCGAAGTGTTCGTTCTGAGTGCGACATCTTTGATTATCAGCAGAGTTTCAGGGTGGGAGACATCTTGAAGAACCTTAGAGACTAATTCTGGATTGTTCTGAAATAGATTCTGAAGGCTCAAAGAGACTAAACCAATGGGACGGGCTGCTTTTAAACTCCCGTTCTCATACGACCTCAGATTACTGCCAACGAACGTCATCTCGTCCAGATGAGTGAGTCCATCTAAGCCATTCTTGTATACCTCCCTTAGTGAAGGACTACCGAATCGCAGCGTCCTTAGGTTAAGGAGAGACTGGAAGATGGGAGCAGGTCCCAAGGTGGTATATGGGTTTTCTACTAGGTTCAGGTGCTGAAGAGAGTTTAGCTCGTGGAACCAAGACGAAGACAGATTTTTCAGGTTGTTTAAGGACAGATCAAGAACTTCCAGCTTATGTTGAGATTTGAAAGCCTCTTTGTGTATAAACTTGAGCTTGTTCTTATGCAAGTTTAGAGTTTTCAGCTCACTGTATGGGCTAAGATCATACATGTCTATAGACTCAATTTGATTGAAAGACAGGTCAAGGCCAAGAGCATTCGCTGGAACTTTTGGGACCTGTTGGAGATGATTTGAGGAACAGTTGCAAAAATATTGCTGGTCACAATCACATGTCCTGGAGTAGTGAAAGCCTTGGGCCAAAATTAATATAAAAAGAATTATGAACCCCTCTGTTCTCAAGAGTCGCATCCTGTAAAAAGAGAAAGATTAAAAAAAAAGAAAAAAAAAAGAATAATTTTATTAATTAAGTTTGCATTAAACTGATCAAAAGTCATAGTATACACTCAAAAAAAAAAAAAATAATAATAATTTTTGGCGTGAGTTAATGGAAATGCCCATAAAATTAATGGATAATGTCCTGGCAGAAAATTACCAGTAGATTTTCTTACAATTTTTACATTGTTACAAAAACATTATTTCAAATAAAGGCTGTTTTTTCCAACATTCTATTCATCAAAGAATCCTGAAATTCTGAAATTGTGTCATGGTTTCCACAAAAATTATTAAGCAGCACAATTGTTTTCAACATTGACACCAATAAGAACGGTTTCTTGAGCAACAAATGAGCATATTAGAACCATTTCTGGAAAATGTGACACTGGAGTATTGGCTACTGAAAATTCAGCTTTGCCAGAAGTAAATTTAGCAAACCCAAAAGGAGAACCATAAAACAGAAGTTCTCAATTTCTGATCCAAAACTGTCAGTCAGTCGATGCACTTCCATTTTGTTCAGCCTATACCACATTATTATACCACATTTTGTACAATCGCAAGCTTATGGTTGTCAATAAATAACATTAAATGTGGCAGTCTTAAAACATGTTGAATATTAAAGTACTACCAGTCTAGCATTTTTCAAGACAAAAAAAGTGAAATTTGATTACCTGACCGCCATTATTGTGTCTGATCCTCTTCTCTATGCAAACTGCAGTTTGGTGGTAGTCATAATAGGAGAAAACAAACAGAAATCAAACATTGTGAGTCACAGGAGGTAGTGAAACTCAATAGCCTGATTGAAACTTTCAAAATCGTCACTTTTATCAGGAACAGAGATTTTAGGAAAACATCCAGTCTCAGAGCATGTGTACACATACAAGTTACATGCTTCATATGGCTGTTGGTAATAATTTTCAAAGGTACACAAGTATACAACTCTATTACTTGAGTGAAAGTACAGATACTGCTGGTCAAATATTACTCCATTACAAGTGAAAGTTGTAAAGTACTTGCTTTTAAAAGTACTTAAGTACCAAAAGTTAACTTTTTTATGTCAGTGCACTGTTTTATTATTGTTGTATGTAATACTTGCAATACCTTATGCCTCTGAACCAACTTAAAATACATTACACCTACTGAATACACAGACTAGCTTGTAGTATCTTTGGAATGAAGAGCTTTTAGAATGTTAAAAACCTATATAAACCAAACAAGCGAGTTGACCAAAAAAATTAACACCCCTACTCACCCCCACAGAAGCAACTGGCCAGTGTTAAAAAAATGCTGGGAAATCACTTCACGTTACCCTACAAGAGTGATTACTTATAGGCTGTCAAAAAACAAACAAACAAACAAAAAACTTATAGGCTGTTTTAGAGAAGAAAAAAATCACCCTCTGACTTTCAAAGCTACGTAGTAACGACTTTCTACTACCAGGATCTTGATAGAAATGTAGTGGAGTGAAAAGTATGATATTTGTCTTTCAAATGTAGTGAAGTTAAAGTCATAAGTTTCCAGAAAAAATAATACTCAAGTAAAGTACCGATACTTAAAAAGTAAGTACAGTAATCAAGTAAATGTACTTACTGTCCACCTCTGATAATTTTTCAGACTGTCTCAAATGTCTTACACAGCTTTTATGCAAATAGTTTTGTAACTATTTCAGATATGTTTGTTTTTGCTTCACTAACCACTGAATTAAGGATTCGAAAAGAGGAAGTTAGCCTTTTCAATAGGGCGTGCATTTACTTTACCACTATAAAGCATTACACATCTCTTGTGGTTATTGCAGAGCACACCCGTGCTCTTCATAACCAGCTTTGACATTGAAACATTTTACAGGAAAAAGTATATAAAAGAAAGAAAGAAAGATTAGAGTCCCTTGGTGAAATACGGGATCCTCATGTTGAAAATATTATAGATGTGATTTGACTTGTCATATTTATGATTTTATGTTGATTATTTGCTTTCATGCATTATAGGTAAAATATATCTTGATAACAGTTTTTTATGTTGTTCTGGCAGGATATTAAATTTCAAAAGCCTTCTCTTTTTGATTTTAGCAGTTGCTCTGATGAAAGAAAATCTAAAATTGCAAGAGGACTCCTCCCTTGTGTCACCAGTAAGTGACAGGTGAAAAGAGGCATAAGCCTATATCAGACATAAACAAATTTCTCAGTTAGCTTGGAACATGTGCGGCTACTTTCCTATTTTTGCTCCAGTTGATTTGAACTGTTGATGGCACAACAGTATTTCTGTATTGTTTCCATTTTAGATACAAATAGACAAAATTAATACAAGTCATGTTTAGTGTAAAACATGCAGACTAAGTCAAAACAGTGCATGCAGTGCATATGACTTATATTCCTATAAGCATCAAAACCCTCTTGGATGGTTAAAACAGAATAAAGAAATACGTTCTTTTGGCATAAAATATTACTTTTGAACCTGTTTTACTCTAAGGGGTCAGAAAGGATAGTTTATGCTAAAAAGAAGATATTTTCAATGTGTATCATATTGTGATATTCTGGTCTCTAGAAATGAGTCATTTCCTTCATTGAGGACGACACTTTTACCAGAGGAAACTGCCTTAACATTTATGTCACTAATTAGTTCAATAGGTTACACAAGTCACAGTAGACAGGGGCGCCTGCAGGATTTCTTCCGAGGGTATGCACAGTTTTTAAAAAAATCTAGGTTAAACATTTAAACTAACATTGTGATGTGCTTGAACTGTTTTATATCTATAGATTTTATTTTAGGCAAGTCGTGATGATTTGAGAAGGCTAAAGATCAAACATATAGGCTATGATCAACTCACTGTCTGCCGCTGGCCGCTTGGTCTTTACTTAAAGGGGTCATATGATGTTGCTAAAAAGAACATTATTTTGCGTATTGATAGCTATACATTGCCCCATTGCCTTGATAACTTCCTCGGACTAACCTAAGTTACCACGTACGTTAACACTGTTGACCATATACTGTAAAGCGGGCGCTTTAATTAGTTTGCATAACCACATCCAAGTCCCGCCACTAGGCCTGCAGCCATTGGCTCAACGTCTCCGTTAAGCAGTTTTAATTGGATGCTGAGCTGACATTTAAAAATTCCGGAACTAATGACGCAGCTGTAAACAACTGCAGCATGCCCTTTGTAGAAACGTGTGTTTATATGCATTTCAAGACTCACATACTACTGTTTCCATTGTCCTTTGTTTTGATTTGCAGCTCTACAAGATATAAAACATAGATTTTTGTGCTACAGGTATGCCGACCTCCCCCGTAAAGACACGGATTCCGTTGACAAGTTTTGGGCATCTTATAAGCGAAGTCAAGGTAGACAAATAATAAATAAAGATTCAACAGATCGCAGCCATGCTTGATGTCATAATAAATAAATAGAAATATAAAATAAAAATGTATAGATGTATAAAATAGGCTAAGCACTATACAATAATATATATATATATATATATATATATATATATATATATATAACATACAAAGATACAAATATATATATAAAAAAAAAAAATATAAAATATGTCACTTTTTCCAAGTATGGTGACCCATACTAGGAATTAGTGCTCTGCATTTATCCCATTTTTGACATATAAGAGGTCATTGTACTATAAAAACATCCTGTAAGTTTCAGAACTCTTTTTAGTCTAAAGTTTTAGAACTTACTTTTTAGTCTAAAAACAGCTTATATTGAAGCCAATCTGCCAAAACGACAGATTGTGAAATGTGCCACTTTATGACGTAATAGTGTGGCTAAACCCCGCCTCCGCTGAAGAAGTTCAATTCCTGCTGCTACATCACTGCCTGTTTAGCCCCACCCACCGATTTGCGCATAGAATTGTAAATAATGAGAGAGGCAAACGCAGGTCTACGCAGAGACCAAACGATAAAGATGGCTCCGAAGACAAGACGCTGTACAGTACCAAGATGTGGAAAAACACACTCTTTGCATTGCCTTCATTCTGATCCCAACATTAGGAAAGAGTGGATGAACTTAATTTTTAATAAAGATCCAGACCGCATCAGTTAGAACTCGGTCCTTTGTTCAATTCATTTTACAGCGGATTCGTTTACAAACAAAGCACAATTCGACGCAGGATTTTCAGAAAGATTGAAACTAAAAGACGATGCTGTGCCAACTATATTGGATCCGACAGTAATGTCGCACCACACAAGTGTGAGTAACTTTTTTTTTTATTACGTGGTCACTATTGCTTTGTCTGTTATTACAGATCGTTTGATATGTACCGAGTATTTATGTGTTTTTGATCGAAATCACTGCAGCGTCCATCTATGAAGGAAGGATGTAGGCTGTCAAACACTGTGTTGGGATCGTTACTACAAAAATTTAATTTATTACTCGTCACTAGTTACTCCTTTCAAAAGTAGTATTATTACATTACTTATTACTTTCTGGCAACAGTAATTAGTTACACTACAAGTTACACTATTTTTACTTCACACCCCACAGAAGTTGTAATTGTGTATCTTCCCCATAAAATTCCTCTAAAATGTTACTAACAATATATTTCTGCCTCATCATTTGACCAAAATCTACATTGGATCGCAGTCAGAAGTTTTTACAAACACTCAATGGTGATTGATAGTGACTTTTAAGTAAAAGTGTTGTATTAATTGTCATGTGTATAGCTTGAAGCCAGTTGTAGCTATAATTTCTCTGCTACCCAAATATGATTATATTTCATGAAGTATTTTATCAAAAGAAATCACATAAGTTCATAAGATTTTTAATTATAATAATATAATTTATATCGGGATCAGAGGGATGTGGGTTGGGAAGCCATGGAATGCCAGAGTAAAGTAATGCCTTGACTTCCATAATGCCACAACTTACACATCTGTGTTCAGATCACATTTTCTCCTTACAAAATCAGTGTAATGGCAATATTTCCATCCCCTGAATGTAAGCTTTTTCATATTCCAAGCTTTCCTGATGCACTGGTGACTTCATGTACCTGTGCGAGTCGTGAAAATTATAAATACATCTAGGAATTATTGGATTGTTGGATTTCAAATCAGTAGGGGTTGAGGCATCAAAAGTAACTAGCTGTTTTATGGATTATTATTACTGAAATCTTATTAGGAATTAGTTACACTACTAGTTACTGCAAAAAGTAATATTATTACAGTAACTAGTAGCCTAACTAGTAACTAGTTACTGTCCAACACTGGTCAAACATACATGCAGAAGTTTACATTGGTGGGCACCATAGACTGTATAAAGGTGGGCACACAGAACTTGCAATATGCAAAACTGTTAGCCAATCATAGCAGTGAGCGTTTACTTCTGAGTTTACAATCTGCTATGCCTATTCAGACAGAAGGGGGTCAAAACAGGACAGAAACTAGCCTATTACTTCTAAGTTACGATGTTTTTTGATGTAAAAATCTTGATAACATTATAAGTGGACCTCAGAGAACAGTACAGAATAAGACAGTTCATGACCCCTTTAAGTCTTTTGCCAGTAGAGTGCACTGTAAGCTTATTGTCAAGTACATTTCTTGGAAGCGTTTTGCTTTATCTGTTGTAAAGGCAAATTGTGCGGTTATTTTAACAGCTGTTGGTTTTAGGTTAGTGAAACTAGCAGATCAGATGGGGACATTTTCCTGTAAAATGAAATGTTCAGAAATTATTTCAGAAAAAACAGTTCTGTTGTAATATGTTTTTCTGCTTTTTGTTTCAGGATGATCATGTCAGTTAATTGTGATCAGGTGTCATTCTGAAAGTGAAGCTCCGTTTAAGTCTAATTGTTTTGAATAGTCTACAATAATCCATTATTATGCTAATCAACACATGATTGAAATACTACCCATTTTTCTTCACCAGTCTAATCTGTCTCTGCCATATGATTGTTTTCCACTTTTACACATGGTATACTATACTGTTGTCATCTATGTCTCTCTGACTGCCACAGCATTTTTTTTTTCAAATGTTTACACCTGAACTTAATGAGCCCTATGGGTCAGCTAAAGTGAAACTGAAATGAGTAAGCACCTGTGTGCACCTGGGTTGTGGTGAATCGTTTTTCCTGTAAATATAGGGTAGTAGTAAACTCAGCTGTAGAAATTCTCTCTAGATGAATGTGCAGGCAGTTGATGTCAGTGGCATAAGAGCGGGCCTTTTTGGATTTTGGGGCTCATCTCAAAGGTGAAACTCCTTCAGGTGAAAAATCATCTTTCGATTCATCTGCAGTACAGTGCAAGGTATTTTTTTTTCTTCTGAAATCTGCAAGCAAAACATGCAAATTATAGCTAAGATTCAAATATAATGATTAATACTGC